TTAAAGATCCATTAAAGTCCTAAACCAATATAAAATCTTCTTGGGTCAACTCCCATATGTTGACTCGAGAATTCTAGTCGTTACCCTTCCAACTTAATTTACCTTATTTTTAAAAATTAAGATTCAAACCTCTAACTTATATTATCGATATATGATTAAGTATTTTACGCAAGCAAAATGTTATAAATAAAACTTAGGCATGGCAAGCATCAAAAACTAGTTAGATACGTATGCGTGTATACAACAATGAAGTTAGTAACGATTTGGGAAGGGATGTGGCCCATATACATATATACATACATACATACATACGTACATACATACATACATACATATATATATATATATATTTGTATAATAGCATTTCATGTTTTTAATTTAAATACTAATTAAATAAGATATTTATTTCTTTTAACTTTTAGATTTAAATATTAAATAAATTTTTATTCTTTGAATGTACAATAATTTAACCAACTCAAATATTTAATTCTAACTCTATCTCAAAGGATATAATAATAATTTTATGCGTTTAAGATTTAATGAAGTGCCTAAAATCTTAATATTTTGGAACCATCCTAATAGAAGTTATTCTCTTGGTTTTCCTTGACTCAAGGTGTTTGACTTTATTGTCTCTAATATTTCCTTTTGTGTTTTCTCTTCAACTGCTTTTAAACCAATGAAAGAAAATCTCAACGTCCAACTGGAGAAAATCTCTATATTATTGTGAAAATATAATAAGCTGACAAGTGACAGTAATCAACTGTGGATCCATGCATTTTATAGTGCGGGTACGTGTCTATCATGAAATTCGAATTTTCTATTTAACTGCTTGTATCTACTCTTAAATTTTATTAGTGCTCATTGCGTCAATAATGCAAGCACTTCCCTTGCAAAATCAGCCAGCTCTCACTATTTTGGAACTTTCTTCACTTTAGGGCAAAGAAACCCAAGCTTTTTTGTGGGAGAGAACGTGATTATACTTGCTTCCATTGAAGAATCGGATATATGTTAGGTCAAAATAATAATAAGGAAAAGCTTGGCCTTTAGCTAATTTGAATTAATGGAGCTGTTGGAGGTTTATTACCCTTTTGGGTTAGGTACAGACTCTCACCAGTCACCCATGGAAAACTAAAGGATAAGGGAAATACATGGTTTGCTGAATATCTGCAACTAACTACTTTGAAAACACCACGGGGACCAACCCAGCATTTAAAGATGGTAAATCTCCAATTTTATTTCGGATATTTCAACTATATTACGAAGACGATACATATTTAAATATATATCTATGTTGGAACAAGGATAGACATAGGGTTGATAGAGATGATTATCTCCATGAAATTTAAGGTTTTTTTTTTAATATTTTTTATTGATAATATATTTTCTACTTCTTATAATTTTATAAGTTCGATTCTAACATAAAATCTTATGTTTGTCGGTACTTAAGAATTGCTTTGATTTCAATTCAAGCGAAGAGAGAATACTTCATTCGAAGGTAAGTCACAAGCATTAGAGATTTCTTAAAAATCACTCGTCCTACAAAAAAGAATCTTGGAAGTTCACATTATTCACAAATGCATGAATTAATGGAAACTTTTCACATTATATGATATAAATAGTTCGGATAGAAGGTTACAAAGAACATTTTATTTTCCTTTTATAAATGATATTACAAAATTTTACACTAAAAATATTAATATCTAGAGGGTATTTTTTTATTTTGTAAAAATCAAGAGGGTATTAGACGTACAATCAAAGGCTTAATTAATAATAATAGTAATAAGTCCTTGAATGTTACCATTCTATTTAAACAAATATTATACTTTTATTGCACTATATACATTTAACCTTTAGTTTGTATCATCCTTGAATTTTAATTTGTAACTAACAACAACAACAAAACCCTATTCCCATATGCGATGGGGTAAGGGGGAGGTAGTGTAGTAGGCTGCCCCCAACGTCAGACTGAGAGCAGCTTCCGTAGAAGACCTCCGGCAGTCAGAAAATTTAAAATAAAGATACAATACGATGCATGTATAAATAAATATATAAATACATAGTTGAACATCCTTCTTATGCAGTCTTCATATGCGCGTCTGTAATGGGAAGTAAACCCTGCATAAAAATCTCTGCATATAGACAGAAACGTAAGACCTGTCTAAATTTAAAAAGATGAAACATGAAGAGAATGATACACAGACTTCGACATAAATTTAAGGGCTCAATTAAGGAGAAATGGATGTCCGAAAAAAAAAAGTTAGAGATTTGAGGATGATGTTAGATTAATTAGGGAAATAGGGTTGTTTCTTCAGTGCAAGTAAAGTTATCGGCAGCTAAAACGGACTTTGACAAAGTTGCTAACAGCAGCCAATGACTTTGCTTCAATTCTTTTGTATTTTTAGGGCCAAATTATATATATATAGACTAAAATAAAAATGACTAATAAAATGGAGACAAATTTAAGGAAGCACCCGAAATTCATTTCATGATGATTTATGGAAAATAATAATCTTATTTTAGTATTTTACTTCTATTGCTTTACAATTTAGTGTCAAAATATAAAAAATAATAATGTAAAATGGCGATTTTATTGAAATTGTTTTCATTTACCTACAATGTTGTTAAAATCATTCTTATTTGCTGACGATTATATCAATGTAAAAACTTTTTTATTTTTGTAATTAATTTGATATCATTCTCAAATTTTTAACTTTTTCCAACATCCATTTTTTCTTTACTTTGTCAAAATTAATCTTATGTAGATACAATATGTGATTAAAAATATAAAACATGATTGAAAAAAATCAAACGGTGGTTGAATCAATTGGTACCTTCATTTCTGGGTAACCAAACTATTCAACCACTCTGATAAACAAAAATATAATAATTAAAAGTATCGTATAAAATTTCTTTTCAAAAAAACCATAAAATGTAAATAAAAAAATCAAAGAATGATAACATAAAGAAAAAAAATCAAATTCTACTTTTCTATTGATTATGATATGTTGTATAACTTTATGATTCAACCCCTACGATTGAATTACTCAATTAATTAATTAAATTAATATATTTGATTCACTTAAAAAATTAATATAAAAAGTTATTTAAGAAAAACTAAATAATTTACCTCTTTAATTTTAAGACAAGTCAAAGATAGTGGACAAAATCTCAGTCTCTAGTTTGATAACAAAGATATTCTTTGTTATCAATTTGTGTTATGTATAGGGATGGGCATGGGACCGAACTCGACAGGTTTTTAAAAAGTTTTGGGTTCGAGTTTAGGATAAAAAATATACGATCCGACATGATCCAAATAAAAATATAATTTTACTTTAAATATTTAGAAATAATTATAATAATATCCCTATATATATTATTTTTCAATTAAATCATTATTTTTATTTAATAAAAATAATATTTTTATTATTTCAAGTCGGGTTTAGATTTTAACTCAAAAAGTCATATCAAGTTCGGGTCGGGTGGAGGGTATATATTTTTCGGGTCGGATCGGATGAATGATGTAAAATTTTTGAATCGGTCGGGTGGGCTAAAAATCCGACCCAACCCGGGCCATGCCCATCCCTAGTTATGTACATACGTACAGTTAGGTTAGAAACTGTCGCCACCATCCAATTTGATAATATATTTCACCAAATTTATTCCATTATAATTATTAATTGTTTTCGATTTTATCGTATTATCATTTAATCCCTTAAATTATAGATTCTAAATTTTACGAGCATTTTATTTCATTTTCTTAAGGTTCCTCCTCCCTTCCTCTCTAAGTAAAATTAGAATTAGACTTAGAATTTAGGGGGGAAAACTTACTATCAATTAATCATCCCTTTTAATTTCTTATTATTAATTTTAGGTTAAAGTACACAAATGGTCTTCGACTAAAGAACATTGTTTTTCGAGTACTTTTATTATTAAAAAATAAAAAATAATCCGTTAATTATAGAGAGTTTCTTTTTTAAGTCCCGAAACTATTAAAAGTTACAAAATAGTCATTTAACTATTTATATGTTTCAAACTCGTCATTTCTAATTAAAAAAAATGACGGTCATCAGAGTTGGAAGTTAACTTACTTATTGATAAATGGTTAAATTATATTTTAATGATGTCTACTAGCATTGTTGTTGCTTTTAAGCACTGACTCGACGACATAATGTAAAGAAAATATAATCTAAAAATGTAACTCAAACAATTTTGGAATCGAATTTTATCATATCCAGTCAATAAGTTAACATCTAACTTAAACAACCATCAATTTTTTAATTGAAAATGACTAGTTTAGAGCATATGAATAGTCGAGTAATCATCTTACAACTTTTAATAGTTGATGGACTCAACAAACAACACCCTATAATTGATGGACCATTTCTATACTTTACCCTTAATTTTAGGATTTAATTAGTGCAATTACAAAGGCCATAACACAATCTTTTCAATTAACTTATACTAGATATTATAGTAATTATTTTAAAATATATAAAAGTTAATTATATTATTATTCTCAAGTATGATTAAATTTCTTTCATTCTACTAAATCAATCCGCAGTTATCTTTAAAAAAAATTCGACCCAAATCCGAATATTAAAAAAATGGATCAAATATCCATCTCTATCATTACCTTTAAATTCAGCTTTGTTTGCATTTGATAGATTAAAAAGGTTTGTTGTTTTCCTCAGGGAAAGCAAAGGTCGAAGGTAACAAGTAACAACAGCACATTAATGGTCCCACCTGTGCAACAAACTTCAATTTATTCTGTAGTTCTAAGCTAATTAAACTAAGGTGGCAAGCCAACCATTGCAAGATTTACTTGATTCTCCCCATTTCCATATATATATATATATATTCACTTTATGAGATCTTTATATTTTTGAAACAAAAAAAGTTAACTTTTACTTTTGCCTCCTGTGGAAAACCCAGTTGGGAAGCTAATGTCTTCAACTTCATGTCTGTTTATAGTACATTGAAAGAGTTTTTAAGATCAAAAACCTTTTTTTCTTTTCCAGTTGAACCCAAAGATGGGTTCTTGTTTCTGGGTTTGTTTTGTTTTTTTGAGCTTTAGCTTGAGTTTTGTACGTTCACAAACTGCAAATGCAACTATTGAAGGAACTGTTTTTATTGATGGGAAAACTCCCATTGGTACTACAGATGAAGATTTCATTTGTGCTACTTTGGATTGGTGGCCCCCCGAAAAATGTGATTACGGTTCATGCAGTTGGGGTCATGCTGGTCTTCTCAATCTGGTCATTATCTTTTTCTTCTACCTGCAATAGACCACACTATTTTCAATGCGTTCGACAATGGGTTTTCTTTCTTTTTTGTCTTTGGTTTTGGTGTTCTTGTTTCTTAGTTTTCTGGGTGTTTCTGTTCAGTCTGGAAATCCCATTTCCCCGTTTAAAAGTGGTTGCTGAGGTAGTGAGATGTTCTTTGATGTTCCTTTTCGTCTTCCTTTTGCAGGATCTTAGTAGAAATATATTCTTGAATGCCGTAAAAGGTAAGGCAATTCCCTTTTTTCAGTTTAATTTGTTTATTTATTTATCAATTCCAAAGTGTGAACAAAAAGTCCACTCTACTCAAAATTAAATTTTTCAAAAAAATTGACTCAAATCGTAATTTTATAAATTCGACTACACTTAAAAAAATTGAATTCAAGTCGAGATTTTCGAGTCGAGTTATAAAATAGATTCAAAAAACTCAAAATTTTTAGTAAATAATAAATTAGTTTTCAAGTTGGATCCCTCAATTCTACATTACATATGTATATGGCATATGAATAATTATATATGTATTATCATATATATGATTATAGAAAATCGTTTAAGTTGGAATTAATAGTTTCATATTATTATAAATATTTATAATTAAATTTAAACATAAATTCGATTAACTCGACTCGACTCAATTCAAATTTCATAAACTCGACTCGACTCAAAATTTTTCAACTTGACTCGGTCGAATACTCACCCTCCCTATATATTTTTTCAGCCTTTTCACCATTGAAAATCAGATTGGGCGGCACGTTACAAGACAAAGTCATATATGAAACAGATGACAATCAACAACCATGCACTTCGTTTGTCAAAAACACGTCTGAGATGTTTGGTTTTACACAAGGATGTTTACCTATGAACAGATGGGATGAACTCAATTCCTTCTTTCAGAAAGCAGGGTATATACATACACATATATATATAATGAATGTTTAATTTGAGCACTAATGTAGCTCATCTGTTTCATGATTCAGGGCTAAGGTTATTTTCGGATTAAATGCTCTTGCCGGTAGAAAAATAGATTCGAACGGTGAAGCCGTAGGAGCTTGGAACTACAACAATGCCGAATCTTTTATTCGATACACCGTTGGGAAGAACTATACCATTCATGGTTGGGAGTTAGGTAACTATTGATGAAATGTCTTGAGTTCACTATGATGTATTGATGATTAGAGAGAAACCAATTGTGTTAGTGATCTTCTGCTTGTCAGGAAATGAATTGTGCGGGAGCGGGGTCGGAACTCGGGTCTCGGCAAACCAGTATGCAGCCGACACCACTGCTCTCCGAAGCGTAGTGCAGAGTGTATACAAGAATGTCGATTTGAAGCCGTTGATCATTGCACCGGGCGGGTTCTATGATTCGGATTGGTTCAAAGAATACATAAACAAGACAACTGAATCCTTAGATGTTGTCACTCACCACATATACAACCTTGGACCAGGTATGATTCACCTTGTACAATCCAGTATTTGAATCTTCTAGGAGCTTAAGACTTGACAATCGTTTGTAGGAGTTGATGACCATCTTGTCGAAAAGATTCTTGATCCTTCCGTTCTCGATGGTGAGTCTGGAACATTCAGTGGCCTCCATAACATCATCAAGAGTTCTTCGACTTCAGCCGTTGCCTGGGTGGGTGAGGCTGGAGGAGCTTACAACAGTGGCCATAATCTTGTTACAAATTCATTTGTGTTCAGTTTCTGGTAAAGTGGCAATGTGTTGCTATCCCGAAGCTTAGACCGTTCGGTCCGATAGATTCATGATTGATATTAACCGAAGACATGAAATGCAGGTACTTAGATCAGCTCGGCATGGCATCAAAGTACGATACGAAAACGTATTGCAGACAATCACTGGTTGGTGGGAATTATGGTTTACTAAACACCACCAACTTTGAACCAAATCCAGACTACTACAGGTTATTTTGCTTTTTTGCAATTCTTTCATTAGGAGACTCATGGCCTAACGATTTGAGATATCGATAATGTTCTGCTTTCTCCAATGCAGCGCTCTTCTTTGGCACCGGCTAATGGGAAGAAATGTTCTCTCGACAAGCTTCACCGGGGCTGACAAGATTCGCTCGTACACTCACTGTGCGAAACAATCAGTAAGTTCATCATCTCATATGCAATCATCAAAGCATGTAATCTTACCTTTCTTAGAGATTAAGTTTTCAATCTTGCAGAAAGGCATCACACTACTATTGATCAACCTAGACAATAGCACTACAGTTCAGGCAAAGCCAGCGTTCAACGGCACAATGACCTTGCGACGCAAGCACCGGTCACGAACATCGCACCATAAGCACAAAATCCATAAAACATCCATCATGAAGCTGCCTAAAGGCCCCGATACCAAAATAAGAAGAGAGGAATATCATCTAACAGCAAAAGACGGAAATTTACATAGTCAAACCATGCTACTCAATGGAAACATTTTAAGTGTAAATTCTTCGGGGATGATACCTCCATTGGAGCCTGTACATGTAAATTCGGCAAAGCCGATAACGGTTGGTCCTTTATCCATTGTGTTCGCTCACATGCCTGATGTTACGGTCGCTGCTTGCAGGGTACAACCGTAGAGGGAACTAAAATCGGTTCCTTTTAGTGATTCATTGTTCGAATAAGAAATATAACATATTACAAATATTTCATTATTTTTCTGCATAGTGAAGAATATAATGCAACATACCTTTTTCCCCCATAATCTCTCAATTTCTTTCATCTCAGTTTTTTTACAGAGACATGTTGCCGCAAGTCTTTATTTTTCTTCAATTATTTATGTTTAAACACAGCGATCCTTCAAGAACCTTCAAATAAGTGAAAATTTAGAAAATATTAAGCGTGTTTGAGTTCGACGCTACATCAAAGTCCGAGTAATGCAGAAGAAGAGTGTATATTCATTCATGTGATTAACTGATGCATGAGAAACAAAACAAACTTCCTACTATGTAGCATCCAAAGGGACAAATTCTGGTGGTATTAACCAGCAAAAAGTTGCATCCTTTGACAGTATCCTCTGTCCAACAAGATCAAAGACATGTCCTAGTTGTGAAATATGAAAACTTGTATTGTGAAAGTAACATAACGTCAAACGTGTACTGAACATAGACAAAGTTTTAATACAATGAAATACATGTTGGCCACACGAGGCTTATAATATTGAATGTAGAGATGAATTAGGTGTGAGTCTGAAACATTTGATAAAGGATGAGGTATTCATTATGAAGTACGTGAAAGATTGAGAGGAATTTTATTGATCTTTTAACCAAAAGATTAAGTAGTAAAGTCACTCTTAATTCGTAGAGAGAATGAGTTTTAAGGTCAATGATAGATGAATAATCAATCTTGTATTTTAAGTTCAATATGATCAAACAAAACCACAGAGAAACTCATACTCATAGTATGTATCTTTATTTATTTCTATGATGTATAATGTACCTGCATAAGAATGAACACTTTGTTCTCAATGAGTTCATAGTATAAAATTTAGGCGGTCCTATCGAAACAGATTTGATGAAATCATTATTTAAAGCGTGAGTTATTAAATATTCTTAACAAGTTCATCTTAGAATTTGAGTGATTTTAGTTGAGACAGATTCAATGAATTCATTAAATTTTTTAAAAATATCAAACTTATTAAATGTTCTAGATAATTTTAGGGGAAAATACAAAAATGACCTCCCAACTATAGAATATTATTTTATTGAGTCCCCTAACTATTAAAATTTATAAAATAGTCCCTCGACTATAAGATGTTGTTTTGTTGAGTCTCTCACTATTAAAAGTTACAAAAATGGTCACTCAATTATTCATATATTCGAAAATCGTCTTTTTCTGTTAAAAATGGACGCCCATATGAGTTGGATATTAATATGCTGACTGATATGACAAAATCATATTTTAATGATATCTACTGACACCGCCGTTGCTTTCAAACACTGACTTACTAGCATAATGTTTCAAGTATTGACTCGACGACATAATGTGAACGGATATTCAATCCATAAACTATAACTAAATTGATTTTGGGGTCAAATTTTATCATATCCTAATCAACAAGTTAACATTCATCTCAGATGGCCGCTAATTTTTGAACAGAAAAGAACTTGTTTGGAACATATGAATAATCGGGTGATCATTTTGTAACTTTTAATAGTCGGAGGACTCAACAAAGTAACACCCTATAGTCGAGGGACTACTTTGTAACTTTTAATAATCAAGAGACTCAATAAAACAATGTTCTATAATCAAGGAACCATTTGCGTACTTTACCCATAATTACATGTCATGCCTTTCTCAACAGAAACATGCAAAAGATAATTCTTAATCAAGCTCAAATGCAAGGGTGCAGTTATCTTCACTAGACTTTCTACCCAGCTGGAGGTTTCTAAAGAACTCCGACAGACCAAAATAGTTACTAATCAAGAGAAAACCTCTTTTTCTCCTGCAATGTTCAATAATCCATGCATTATCATTATAGACAAGAATATTAGAGGGGCAAAATAGAGTTGGGAAGGGGGGGGGGAGGAAATAAAGATTCTTAATATAACGAAAGGTAAAAATAGTAACAACACAGTTTTTTTCTATAAACTGACCATCATCATCACAATCTATGTCATTATGAGCCCTTTACGAGGGAAATTTTTCATTTGCCGATTTGGCTTTTGAGAGGATATTGTCTCTAGAGTCAAAATGTGTTGCAGTCTAAATATACTTCAAACGGGAATCGGAAAAGATCCTGGCAGAGTCTGGGGATCAATGGACCATTAGCCAATGTTTGCTTCCTCTTAAAATAAATTAAACAGCAGCCCACCATGTGTAGCAAAGAAGGGAGCAAAGACGAGTGATTCAACAGCCATTAGCTTGATGAGTATGTTGAGTGATGGCCCAGATGTGTCCTTTAGAGGGTCTCCAATGGTATCACCAATAACAGCTGCCTTATGTGGGTCTGATCCTTTGGGACCAAGAGTTCTTGCATGTTCCGACGCACCAGCCTGCGATTCAGAAAGCAAGACCGTAAATATAGAACCATTACTTTATAAATGTCGATCATAAGATTAGCTCGTAGGCTATCGACCAAATCAGAGATAGAGATACCTCGATATATTTCTTGGCATTATCCCAAGCACCCCCCGTGTTGGATGCAGAGATAGCAATCTGGAAACATGCCAAAACAGAAACAAACATTAAGATGAACCTTCTGAGGAAAGGTCTCGTGCAATATAAAATCATATAAACAATATCGAGACTTGTGAACATCACCTGGACACCAGAGACAAGGGATCCAGCGAGGACACCAGAGAGAGTTTCGACCCCGAAAAAGATCCCAACAATAAGGGGTGTGAGCATAACAAGGGCACCAGGTGGGATCATTTCTTTGATAGAGGCATCAGTTGAGATCTTAACACAGGTAGCATAGTCTGGCTTACCAGTGCCCTCCATGAGGCCTGGGATAGTGTTGAATTGTCTCCGCACTTCCTCAACCATCTTTAAAGCTGCGCTTCCCACGCTCTTCATGGTCATAGCAGAGAACCAGTAAGGAAGCATTGCCCCAACAAGCAAACCAATGAAAACTTTTGGGGTCAATACATCAACTGTTGAAATTGCAGCACGGCTCACAAAGGCACCAAAGAGGGCAAGGGACACCAATGCTGCTGAACCAATAGCGAAACCCTGGAAAGAAATGCAGAGTTTTCAAATAAATACACTTCAGGCAAGTAGCAAAATTACTCATGCTGAAAATAAATTTAAAGGAGATATAGGATGTATCCAATTGAATAACTCATAAAATTAAAATCATATAACAGTGAAAAAAAGGACATTCTTTTTTTAAATAGCTGCTCCATGGCCCACCAAAACAAAACCTGCTTTAGAGCTTGTTATCCAGAACAAACATAGAGATCACCATGAATCAAATAAATTAGAAAAATTAAGCCATGTGCTCAAGTGAAAAACAAATCAAACCTTTCCGATAGCAGCAGTGGTGTTCCCTGCGGCATCAAGAGCATCAGTTCTCTCTCTTATTCTATGGCTCATGCCAGCCATCTCAGCAATTCCTCCCGCATTATCACTGATGGGACCATAAGCATCGATAGCCAATCCAGTAGCTATGGTGCTCAGCATTCCAAGGGCAGCAACAGCAATGCCATACATAGCAGCAAAGCTAAAACTAACAAAAATACTGATAGCAATAGCAAAAATAGGAATAATGCAAGATTTGTAACCCAATGCAAGACCAAAAATAACATTGGTTGCAGCTCCAGTCCTGCAGGAATCAGCGACATCTTGTACAGGGCTGCAGAATTAAATAAAGTGTTAAAATCACTGATAACAAAGGACAACAAAAGGAGAAAAATAATGCTATCAAGATGAGTTACCTGTATGCATTGCTAGTATAGTACTCGGTTACAAAACCAATAATTAGGCCAGCCCAAAGACCAACAGCAACACATAAGAATAGTTGCCTGCAGAAGAAACTCGATGTTACTCTCATTCTAATGCAAGCTTATGACTTTTGACATTTCTCGATAAAAGAAGCACAAAGAGTTTACCAGTTCTTAACAACTTTCTGCTCTCCGAAATTGAAAATGGTGAAGGACGAAGGAAGAGCTACCCAACTAACAATTGCAATTCCAATAGTCATGAGAACAGTGGAGATGATAAGTTGCCTCTTCAATGATGGCTCAATTTCCTTAACGGCCTTGATCTCAAAGAAATCAGTTGCAAATAAGGTGGTGATTAAACAAACAATGATACCAACAGAACTGATGATGAGAGGATATAACATTGGAGTGAACTCATGATTGATGCCAAAAGAAGAGATGGAAGCAACAACAAGTGCAGCACAAGATGATTCAGCATAGGACCCGAAAAGGTCAGATCCCATTCCAGCAATATCACCAACATTATCCCCAACATTGTCAGCAATCACCTAAAACACGGAAGTGTCAGAGACAAACCTAGAGAAGTAACTACTACTCAGCGTCAGATCTCAAAAATGCTACAACATATATCAGTAGACACATGTCACTTACAGCTGGGTTCCTAGGGTCATCCTCAGGAATGTTCCTCTCCACCTTGCCTACAAGATCAGCACCCACATCAGCAGCTTTGGTATAGATACCTCCACCAACTCTGCCGAAAAGAGCCATGGAAGAACCTCCAAGCCCATAACCAGTGATCGCCTCAAAAAGACCACCCCAGTCATCACCGTAGTAGAGCTTGAATACATTGATGGCAATGTAAAGCACCAAGAGGCCATTTGCAGCAAGAAGAAAGCCCATTACGGCACCAGATCTAAATGCCGTAATAAATGCCTTTCCAACTCCCTTTCTTGCTTCGAGGGTGGTTCTAGCATTAGCATAGGTAGCAATTTTCATCCCAAGAAAGCCAGAAACAACTGAAGTGACAGCACCGAGCAAGAAAGATATGGTGCTGAATGCAGCAGTGGCAAGGGCAGGCTTGCACATCCTAGATAGGTCATATGTGCAAGGTTGGCTCTTCATGCTGAAACCCTCTACGGAGCCAAGGAAGAGGAAAATCAAGATTGCAAAAGCAACCATGAAAATGCCAACATACTGATACTCGGTGTAAAGAAATGAGGTTGCACCTGTAAACTCATAAATCGAAATATTAGATAACTGGGAAGTCTTTCCAAGACTTACAAGCAGAAAAGACGACAAACAGAACTACAACATAT